GGGATCAGCATTTTGGTAGAGTCACAACCAAAACGGGAGTCCATCTTCACAGGTAATAATTTTGCTATTCGGAAATATGAGGTCAGGCATGGTGGCTCATACCCCTAATCCCAGCACTTAGGGAGGCTGAGGCAGGTGGATCACTTAAGGTCTGGGGTCCAAGACCATCCTGGCCAACATGGTGAAACCCTGTCTCTACAAAGAAAAATACAAAAATCAGCTAGGCGTGGTGGCAGGTGCCTGTAATCCCAGCTACTTGGGAGGCTGAGGCAAGAGAATCATTTGAACCCAGGAGGCAGAGGTTGCAGTAAGCTGAGATGGTGCCACTGCACTCCAGCCTAGGCAACAGAGTTAGACTCGGTCTCAAACAAAAACAAAAACAGGCCGGGCGCGGTGGCTCAAGCCTGTAATCCCAGCACTTTGGGAGGCCGAGACGGGCGGATCACGAGGTCAGGAGATCGAGACCATCCTGGCTAACACGGTGAAACCCCGTCTCTACTAAAAAATACAAAAAATTAGCCGGGCGCGGTGGTGGGCGCCTGTAGACCCAGCTACTCCGGGGGCTGAGGCAGGAGAATGGCGTGAACCCGGGAGGCGGAGCTTGCAGTGAGCTGAGATCCGGCCACTGCACTCCAGTCTGGGCGACAGAGCGAGACTCCGTCTCAAAAAAAAAAAAGAAAGAAAGAAAAGAAAAACAAAAACGAGATAAGGAATTTGGCTGAGAGAAATTGGGCTTCAAAATTCAAATTCCGCAACTCTGTGAGCTCTAATATTAAAGTTCAAACTGAGAGCCCAGTGTTAGACAAGATGTTAGTATTTACTCAAATGTAATAATGTATAGCCTTTGTTCCAGGCAAGAGACTTCTATGACTCCATCCCACAGTCACTGTATACAAAGTGTATGTGCAAGTGTATTTACTGCAGCACTGCTTATAATAGGGAAAGACTGGAATATTCTGAAATGCCCCTTTATAGGGAAATAGTGAACCCATCTATCTTAGTCCATTCAGCTTGCCAAAACAAAATATCAACAGATGCTGGCGAGGTTGTGAAGAAAAGAGAATACTTTTACACTGTTGGTGAGAGTGTAAATTAGTTCAACAATTGTGGAAAACAGTGTGAAAATTTCTTAAAAACCTAAAAGCAGAACTGCCACTCAACCCAGCAATCCCATTACTGGGTGTACACCAAAAGGAATACAACTCATTATACCATTAAAGACACATGCACATGTATGTTCATTGCAGCACTATTCACAATAGCAAACACATGAAATCAGCCTAAATGCCCATCAATGGATAAAGAAAATGGAGCACATACATACCATGGAATACTATGCAGCCATGAAAAGGAATTAGATCATATCTTTTGCAGGAACATGGATGGAGCTGGAGACCATTATCTTTAGCAAACTAACACAGGAACATAAAACCAAATACTGCATGTTCTACTTATAAGTGGGAGCTGAACAATGAGAATACATGGACACAGAGGGAAACAACAGATACTAGGGCCTACTTGAGGATGGAGGGTGGGAAGAAGGAGATGATCATAAAAAATAACTATTGAGTACTAGGCTTAGTACCCCTGCGATGAAACAATCTGTACAACAAACCCCCATGACACAAGTTTATTTATATAACAAACCTACCCATGTACCCATGAACCTAAAAGTTTAAATAATAATAATAATAAAATAAAACAGAAACAAGATATCATAAGCTGGGTGGCTTATAAACAATTATAAATTTATTACTCTCAGTTCTGAAGGCTGGAAGTTCAAGATCAGAGTGTCAGAATGGTCAGTTTCTAGTGAGGGACCTTTCCCACGTCACAGACTGCCAACTTCTAGCTGTGTCCTCACACGGTGAGACAGGCAGGCAGTTCGCTAGGGCCTGTTTTATAAGGAAGGACACAAATCCCATTCATGAGGGCTCCACTCTCATGGCCCAATCATCTCCCATAGGCCCCATCCCCTAACACCATCACATTGAGGATTAGGATTTCAACATAAAAATTCCAGGAGACAATAGACATTCAATCCAATGCATCACCTAATATGATACAATCCTGGAAAACAATAAGATAGAACTCTTGCCATGTCAACTAGTTATTATGTTGCTTCACAGAGAATTAGACACAATTTTACTTAGAAAGAGTTAGAGTTTTCCCAAAGCTAAATTACTTGGAAGATAAGTGTTGTTGCTAAGCATATGAGCAACAGAACCAGGTGATCCAGTTCAAATCCCAGCTCTGCCCTCCATGTGACCTTGGTCTAGTTGACTATGTCCATGATCTTTGGTTTCATTGTCTAGAAAATGGGGATGATATTGACATTATCCCCTTATAGAATTTTATGAGATTTAAATGAGGCAATACGTGTAGAGTATTTAGCACAGTGCCTAGCACAGAGGAAGTATCTGATAAATATCACCTGTTATTATAGTATTCAGCCAGAAAGGATCTGAGAGCCTCACTACTCAAAGTGTGGTTTGTACAGAGGAAGCAGCAGCATCCCCTGGGAACTTGCTGGAATGCACACTCTCAGGCCCCACTCCAGAGCTACTAAACCCAAGTCTGGATTTTAACAAGATCCCAGATGATTCTTATGTATGTTATGGTTTGAAACTAGTTGGTACTGCATAGAAACTGAGATTGTGAATTTCCAACAAGCTCCCTGATGCTGCTGCTTCTGGTCTGTTGCCCACACTTTGAGTAGCACATCAAAGCTTGAGAAGTGCTGGCTTGAAGAATGCACAGTTCTGCCCCCTCAATTTACAGATGAAGAAACTGAGCTCTTTGAGAGCCTGGACTGTGACAACCGAGGCCAGAGGTCTCAGGCTCCATCCTTATCCTCTGTCCTGGCAGAGCAGGGGCAGAAATGCAGCTGGGTTCTATTGCCTACATGAGGACATCCCCCTGGACTGTGTCCACACCACAGGGAGAGCCCTTATCGTCCAAGAGTCTACAGGATCCCTCTAAGAGCCAGGCCTCTGGCCCAGGGATGGAGGGCATGGGAGAAGTCCAGAAACATGTTTTTGGTAGCTGGCCCAGGTGGTGGCATGGCACAGTAGACAGGATACTGGCTTTAACATCAGAGACTTGGGGTGGAATAGAATTGCTATCACAGGATAATCATGTGATGTCAAGAATTCACCTCAACTCAAACCTCTGGCTTCCTTGAGCCCTGACCTCCTTATCTGTAAAATGGGTATGAGAAAACATTTAAGAAGAAAAGAAAAAAAAAACCTGAGCTCTGAGAAGGTTAACTGACTTATTGAGGTCATATGCCAGTCCATAGTAAATCTGGGACTCAGACCCAGCAGTCCTTACTCTGAAATGTAGACTTTGAACAAAAGTGTCAGGTCACAAATTGTCAGACCAACACCGTTCTCCAAGAGCACAGCAGATTTGATATGAACTGACTCTCGGATTCTGAGATTCTGTGTGCATGTCAAGGTAAGTGAGACCCTAAATGGTTGTTTTAATGAATGCAATGTTATAATTCACACAGAGTCACTGTTGTACCTAGCAAATTCATAATTAGAGGTAATTTTGCACCTGCTGTCACGGGAAGATGGCATTTCCTCTAATTTAGCTTGATGCCTTGATTATACTGTGGGAGCGGCAGGAGACAAGGCAATCTCTCACTCCACTTCTAGAGAAAACACACAGCCTTTAGTTTGTAGTTATGATTAATAAAACTACTCAGCACCTTGGAGTCATCAGCCACCACTTCTCATCATGCTGATGCAGTCTTCCATAAGGCAGGAGCGTGTGTCACCACCCAACCTGTTGCAGAAACGACAAGAGGTTACTGGGTTCTTTTTAGGGTGAGCCATCCCAAGAATTCCAATCAAACCAACTTCAAAACATAATCACTGAAGCGACTATGAATTTCAGCCCAACCCAGAGTCACAAAAAACGTTAATGTTATATTTCTATAACTGAACTTACTTTCCAGTTCCAGGCCCTGTTCAAGGAGTTTTTTTGTTTTGTTTTTTGTTTTTTGTTTGTTTGTTTGTTTGTGTTTTTTTCATGGGCTACTTTAATTTGGGGTGACTTATCTACAGCCAAGTCATTAGGGAAGAAGGGCACTTAGACATGCGTGCTGATGTCCACTGAGAGGCCTCCATCTGGTGCTGGTCATCAGTCCTCGGTGGTCATGACTGTGTCCTCTCCTGTCTGCAATGGCAGGATTCTCTCGGCCCAGTGGTCTTTCGACTTTTAGATACTCAGGCTTCTTTCTGTTGCTCTGTGCCAGTCAGAGGAGGAGGAGGGGTCTCAGTGGATGTAATCCACTAGACCCCATGCAAAACCACCACTCCTGCTCTATTACTTTACTGGGAGGCTGTAGGAAACTGGGGATAGAGGCGTTGCCAGCTCAAGTTTCAAACTCAGGTTTAGCTGAGGCCAAGTCACTTATTGACCTCTGTACTATTAAGTCTCTCATTTTCCCCCTAGCGCTGATGACAGCAAGAGGAAGGTTGGGCTTCTCTATGGTACATAAGACTTATTGACCTTTCTATGGAGGAGATAAGAAGACCAGGATTCAAGGGAAGGTGCAAGTATGATGTAAGACAATTCCCTTAGCCTGTCTCACTGCCCCTCTTCAGTCCACAATCAGTTTAGCTCAGACGTTCTTTATAGCAGTTGAGGAGTATTCCACTGTGGGCAGGCACCCTTCTTCATTACTCTAATTCCTTGTTGATGAAAGATTAGTTGCCCTCACTTTTTCTTATTTTATATAGAGTTCCAGTAAACATTCTTTAGAAAGTATCTGCTCAGGCTATTGTCTGGACACCAGGGTTTGAGACAGAGTGGGAGTTTACAGAACTAAAGAGCTGGAACTACCTGTGACTCCATTCCATAAGCGTGCAACTCATTCTCTCCGGGATGCCCCTATGGAAGGAGTATACCACTGTGGTGAAGAGGGCATGCGTTAGAGCTTAAGACTCAGGTGCATATCACAATTCTGCCACTTACTGGTTATATGACCTTGAGCAAGTTTCTTGACCTCTCCTAGCTTCAGTTTCCTCATCTGCAAAATAAAAATAAAAGCTGCTTCACAGCATATTGAAAAGTGCAAAATAGATGTTGGAAGTAAATAGGTAGATATATATATAAAATGTTAGGCATTGCACTTGGCTATTGTTTATTTCCTATGGACTGGCCTATAACTCACAAAATGGTTTGAGGAGGAGGAGGAGGAGGAGGATGATTTTGACATGGGTAGGGAAAAGCAGGAAGGGAGTAAAGGAAACCACTTAGGGAGAATTTATCATTCATGGATACACTCACCAGGGAGCTGTCTGCACCTGCTCAAAAGTAGCAGAGTAAAATAAAAGGACAAACCTCACTTCCAGTGCCTGATCCCCAATTCCAGCACATGTCTCCTCACCTCCAGGGAAAAGAGAGCCCATCTCAGGTAGCTGAGGAAGATTCTGCAATGCTCTGAAAAGGCAAATCCCTACTCAGGTGTGCCAAGTGTAGACATATAAAGTCAATATGAACTCACAGTGAAATGTAATTAACTATAAACTATTTTGGTAAAAGTGAGATTTTTTGATACATGAAAAAACTGCGTGATGGCTTGAAGCCAAACTACTATCCAAAAGGATGTCTTGTTAATTCAGGTTTGGGATTTGCTTTTTAAATTCAAATAGTAATGGGTGGGGTACACAATTATGGGAAACATAATTACAGGGCATCATTTTCTGGTAGGTTTGTATTGTTGGGTTTTTTTTTTTTAAGATGTTCTTGTTTGTATTCTATTTGTTTCACGTGAGGTTCAAACCACAATTGAGACTGGTATTAAAAGACAAGCATTACCCCAAGCCCAGAGGACTGAGACTCAGCATGTTGCATATGAGGCGCTTTATTTCAAATGGCGTTAAGAGGGTTTTTAATTTCTCAGCTTTGGACTCAGGTATCACCTCTCTGACAAAACAGCAAGGGAGGAACAGCATTCTAACTGGATTAGATAACTTTCTCGCCACCAGACCCGTGACTAGGAGCCATTTTGCCACACAGGAGAAGCTATTTTAAACCAGCTCATTAGGGGAGGTATGAAGAGGAGCTATTTGGAGCTCCCTGAGGCCTATGGGGAGAAAGGGGAGGGGAAATAGATAATTATCATCAGTAGCCAACATCGCCATGTTTTCCCCACCAAAATTCTGCCTTTCACAAGTATGCTAGGCAAGCTACATGGAGGAAAAAGATTATAAAAGAATCTCACTCGCAAGTGGAAGTTAACTATGAGGATGCAAAGGCATAAGAATGATACAATGGACTTTGGGGACTCGGAGGGGAAGGGTGAGAAGGGGGCAATGAATAAAATACTACAACATAAAAATAAAAAGAACAGTAGATAAGAGTAGAGGCTTTGGAGCTGATCACAAAGACCTGAGCTTCAGTCCTAGCTTGGACATATGCAAGATGAGGCAAATTCTCGGGGACTTTAGACTCATTTCATTCACCTACAAATAGGATATGTTCATATTTGTCCCATAGGATTGTCCTGAGGATTAAATGGGAAAAAAATATATACAAAGATCTTGGCACAGTGCTGGGCATTCAGTAAATGCTCAAAGATAGAACCTACCATTTAGCATTGTAATGATGCCCTTCCCTCCTCTCTCTACCAAATCAAAGGGGCTCAGCCGGGTGCAGTGGCTCATGCCTATAATCCCTTAGGAGACTGAGGCAGGAGGATTGCTTGAGGCTAGGAGTTTGAGACCAGCCTGGACAACATAGCAAGACCCCCATCTCCACGAAAAAATAAAAATTAGTCGGGCGTGGTGGCACACCTGTAATCCTAGCTATTCAGAAGGTGGAAGGAGGAGGATTACTTGAGCCCATGAGTTCAAGCCTACAGTAAGCCATGATCATACCACTGCATTCCAACCTGGGTGACAGAATGAGATCCTGTCTCTATAAAAATAAAAACAGAAAGTCTTACAGCAACTTTATTTTTGCCATGTGCTAAATCATCCCTCAAATGAGCACGTCTTTGATTCCACCCAACCTTGCCACTGGCGTCTGTGAGGAGGGTGTTACATTTACCTAAACCCTGGCCACCCTGCTTTTCGGCTCTACCATCTCTCACCCCACCTCAGCCCTGCGGTGCAAGCTTCCTTTCTAACGCTTGCCCATCCTTCCAGTACCTATACCTAGGGCACAAAAGGCAGCAGTAGATTCAGAGGATTGAAAGTCAAAGAGGTGGTACATCCCAAAAGTCCTGAAAGAGGCAAGCTTAGGTGGGCCAGAGGGCTTGGGCTCAGCTTCACGGAGATAGAAGGGACAGTGGTGACCAAGAAGGCAGGGCCAGCTTCCTGGATGTGTGACCTCTGTAGTCACGTGAGGCCTCACACTTTAAAATGAAATTGATTTACTGTTCTGCCATGACCATCTTGAAATTCTTAATTTTTTAACAGAGGGCTCTACCTTTTTTTTTGCTTGCACTGGGTCCTGACAATTAAATACCTTGTCCTGCAAGGAGGAAAAAAAGTGCTGAGATGAAGGCTAGGCTGGCTTCCTATCCCAGTTCTACTACATTCTAGAAATGTGACTGTGTATAAGTTCACCATGCATTCCACACACATTTTTTTAACTTTTAAGTTCAAGGGCACATGTGCAGTTTGTTATATAGGTAAAGTTGTGTCATGGGAGTGTGTTGTACAGATTATTTCATCACCCAGGTAATAAGCCTAGTGCCCATTAGTTATTTTTATTTTTCCTGATCCTCTCCCTCCTCCACCCTCCACCCTTCAATAGGCCCCAGTGTGTATTGTTTCCCTCTGTGTGTCCATGTGTTCTCAGCGTTTACATCCTAAGATAAGTAAGAATCTGTGGCATTTGGTTTTCCATTCCCACATTTATTTGCTAAGGATAATGGCCTCCAGCTCCATCCATGTTCCTGCAAAAGACATTATCTCGTTCTTTTTTACGGATATATAGTATTCCATGATCCACACACGTTTTAATGATTACGTCCTGTGATGGTTAATACTGAGTGTCAACTTGACTGGATTGAAGGATGCAAAGTATTGATCCTGGGTGTGTCTATGAGGGGGATGCCAAAAGAGATTAACATTTGAGTCAGTGGGCTGGGAAAGGCAGACCCACCTTTAATCTGGGTGGGCACCATCTAATCAGCTGCCAGTGCAGCCCGCATATAAAGCAGGCAGAAAACATGAAAAGTCTAGACTGGCTTAGCCTCCCAGCCTATATCTTTCTCCCATGCTGGATGCTTCTTACCTTCAAACATCAGACTTCAAGTTCTTCAGCTTTGGGACTCAAACTGGCTTCCTTGATCCTCATGTTGCAGACTGCCTATTGTGGAACCTTGTGATCATGTGAGTTTGATACTCCTTAATAAATTCATATATATATATATACACACACACACACACACATATATACACATATATATACATAGGTGTGTGTGTGTATATATATATATGCATATATCCTATTAGTTCTATCCCTCTAGAGAACCCTGACTAATACACCTCCTATCTGCCAGCCTCAGTGTCCTCATTCATAAAATGGGTGTAATGATGCTATCTACAGTGAGGGGTTGTTTTGAGGAGTGAGAACAGGTACTAAGGCACTTGGAACTATGGTGGCCCATAGCTAATGTTGAGTAAATATCAACTATCATTATTAAGGAGAAAACAAGTTTAGGAATTGGCACAGGAAGGAAAATATAGCTGCCAGAAGACTCTTGAGAAGGAGGAGTCCCCTTCATTTTAAGATCTGTGTATATATTTTGAGGCACCTGACAGACGCAGCACACAATAAAGGCGGATATGATGTGTAAAAATGTAAGTAATGGTGAGTCCCGTCCTCCTGAGAGTCATATTTTTGTGTATGAGAGGAGTAGGTTAGGAATCACTTACACACATCCCAATGCAACAAGTTCGAGGCTGGCCAACGCTGTGAACAGGGTACCAAGAAGTTCAGAGATGAGAGAATAAAGAAGGAGAAGCAGGTTCTCCTTTGGAGGAGCTAAGAAGGACTCATGAGAGGTGAGCAGGTTCTAGGAAGAAGGGTTTGGATTTTGAAAGTCAAAAAGGCACAGGGGGCAACACAGTGAGGGGGGCAGCACAGACAGAGCCCCTGCTGGAGAAACGCAAACAGCACTCAAGAAACAGCAACAGTAATGAGTATAAATCTCAGTCCTCAAAATGCTGGCAAGTTAGAGAAAGTAGTTTTGTTTTCCCTTTATTTTCTCTACATCAGCTTAAATTTGACTCCCAGCCCCACAACCCACCAAGCCAGAGCAATCTCAGTCACTATTTGGAGATCTCTGTTCAGCCACCCCAGGTTGTTCCAAACCCCTGGAGCTTCCACAGGCTTCTGGTCATAGGTTCTTGGTCTACACTGGTTTCTGCTGAGATGCTCCTGCCCCCTCAGGCCTACAGGTGCCTGTTTGGGAACAGGATCTAAGAAATGTGGGACCCAGAGAGCAAGAAGTCAATGACTCCAGGAAATGTTGAGAGCTGCCACTGATTCAGTCTTCAAACTGCTGCTGACTTTCCGTCAAACCTGATTTCAACTTTATGTAAATATTGAGGAGGGCCAAGATGAGTACTGCTGAAGCTGACTGGTTCTCTAAGAGGCCGTAAAGCATAGTGGTTAAGTGTCAAGTCACATGCTGTGTTCCAGTTTTACTTCTTACCAATTGTGTCACCTTTGGTAAGTTACTTAACGTCTCCAAACCTGAGCTTTCTCATTTGAAAAATGGGAATATTAGTAATACTTCTCACAATTATTATTAAGACTAAATAAGATAATATGTACAAAGGACATATTGCCTGGCATATATAAATGCACCATAAATGGAAGCTGCTATTATCATCATCACCATCTTTAGGCTGCACCCAAGATAAATACGCACTGGATAATAAAATTCCCCTAAAAAGAGTACGTCTTCCTAACTACAGTAACAAGTTTTAAAACCAGATTACCTGGATTCAGATCTCAGTTCACTTGCTAGCTATGTGACCTTGGGCAACTTACACACATATCCTCTCTGGACCTACCTCAGTTTCCTAATCTGCAATTGAAGTTCATATCAGTACCTAACTCATAGTGCCTTAAGGAGGACTAAATGAGTTATTTCATGGAAAGCAAATAGAACAGCACTCAATAAATGATGGTTATTGTTGCTTTTAGTTTCTCAAACACTTCTGCATGCATTCAATTCTCAGAAAGTGACTTACTAATGAGGTTTAGAAAGCTGTCCCCCTACCAGAGCACATCTTTTTGTCTTCCAAATTAACATCAAGTAGAAAGTCAAAGTCTCCCCAGAGGACACTCACCCAGAGAGAGTCACTGTGTACAGTTCGGTGTGCATCCTTCTAGATGTTTTCTAAATGTAAGTATACATCAATGGAATCCTCCTAAACAATCTATCTTTTCCACTTAAGATGTTGTAGATATCCTTCAGATCAATACTATTGTATCTACCTCATCCTTTTCCAACAACTCATTCTATTCCATGGCATTGACATACCCTACTTTATTGAACAAGTCCTCTACCCAAAGAAATTTTGATAGTTTCCCATTTCCTGTGATCCTGAACTTATAATCATGTTAAATACATCTACACAAACTTATTAATCAGAATAAATTTCTAAACGTTGATTATCTGGATCAAGGGGTATGAACATTTAAAATGTGGATACCTATTACCAGAATGCCCAGCCAAAAATGGTTTTTTTTTTATTTCATTGTATTTTATTTCATCTCATCTCTTTCCTTTGCTCCTTCTTCTAGCTCTGATCACATTTATGTTGGGCTACATTCCCTTTCTACCTGTATTCGTTTGCTGGGGCTCCAGTAACAGAGCACCACAGAGTAGATTGCACCAACAACAGAAATGTGTTTTGTCACAGTTCTGAAGAGACTACAAATCCAAGATTAATCTGCAGGGTTAGTTCCTTCCAAGGCCTCTCTCCTTGCAGGGTGGATGGCTGTCTTCTCCCTGTGCCCTGACATGTTCTTCCCCCTCTGGTTTCTGCATCCTAGTCTCCTCTTCTTATAAGGACACCAGTCATATTGGATTAGGGCCCATCCATATAGCCTCATTTTACTGGAATCACCTGCTTAGAGGCTCTAAATTAAGATTTATGAATTTTAGGAGGGACACAACTCAACCCATATCACTATCTGTTATCTGATTTTTCATCTTTGTATTTCTGGAATGCCTAGAGAAAAAAAAGTGTCCAGTGATTTCCTGTTAATCAAATGGGTGTATTTGCCCAGCATCCCATGGTCGTCACCCCGGTCCAGAGAGTCCCACCCACAGAACATGATGGGCACTAGTCCAGAGCCCTGGGTTGGAATGCCAACCCTGCCACATAATAGTTTGATGACCTTAAGCCAGTTCCTCACCTTCCTGAGTCTGTTTTATCATCTATAGTCATAGAACAACACCACTGCAGGAAATTGTTGAAGAGATTCAAATGAAAATCCCATGTGAACATGCTTAGCAGGGAGCAAATATGGCTCGAAAGCTGTGACAGTTACCACCTGGCTCTTCCCTTCTTGCCACTGCTCCTCCCATATCGTGTTCATGCATTACCCCCACCTCCACCCCAGGCCTCTCTAGAGATGAGCTTCCCCCAGAAGAGGCCCACTTCCTGGGCAAACAGTCTCCAAAGGCAATTAAGACTCACTCTCCCTCCCCAGGGTTTGTAAAAGTCTATGTGTTCCACGCTTCTAGGAACATTAACCATGACTTGGTGACACTTGTCCCAAAAGGGACCTATTGGCTTTGGGATCGCAGACGATGACTTCATTGGGAAGGCCATTAATCATAATTATGAAATAATGAAATGGCTGTCAATTTGCCCATGCCTAATAACACCTAGTTAATAAGAGGGTCTTTTTATTTCTCACAGTGAAAATGGATGGCAGAGGATACTGTTTCTGGGAGAGCATTACACGTTTTGGATGGCTGAAATGCCTTGGCCAGTGGAAGTCACTCGACTCTTGGCTGGATGCCTCAGCAGCACTCTATGAGCCGTGCAATAACCTCTCCGAAATGCACTGCTGCTCCTGTCTTATTGCTTAATTAATCCACTTCTAATTGATATGGCCATGCATTACCATGGCTGCCTCCCTGCTGTGAGAGCCCATAAAAACATATTTGGCTTTTTTAACAGGACTTTTGAAACAATGTCAAGAATGTGAACTTCTAAATGACATCATACTTTGTCAAGAAATGTGAGTCCCATTACTTTGGCCAAATATTACCCTGACATTTAATAAAAATGTCCAGGTCCAATGAAAGCATTATTATATTTTAAAGGATTTATATTGTAGAGAGGTGGGGAAAGAGGGGATGAAGGGAAGACAGGAACTAATTGGAACATGGGCTCTGATAGTGCCTTTTGTACTCTTCCTTAGTAACTACCCATCTTTTTTATTTATTTATTTTTAGAGTCAAAGTCTCTTTCTATCCCCCAGGCTGGTGTGCAATG